AATAGATATAAGTTAACTCCAAAAGAAATAATTTTAAGAGTTACTGTGATATTAGGATTTTCCACTGATTTGGTAATAGAACATTATATTGCAAAACATGACACGATGCAGAAGAAAATCCAATTTATCAATCAGAAAAACCCATTGCAAATACTGTACTTCATTTTGACAAATTCAATAAATCACAATTTAAATATTATCAGCTGTTTCATTAAAAAGTAATAATGCATATGGTCGTAATGTAAACAAATCTGAAGAGGCAACTTTAAAGGCTTCTGGGGCAGAGCTCCAAGGGAATTTACCTCGTTCCTCTTTTGATGGCTCATCTACAGACCAAGACCTTCCTTTAGAGACCCCTACCAAGTTTCTACGCCCAGCCGTTCTCTCAAATTAGCTGTGACAAAAACCCCGTTTTCCTCCATAAGAATAACATGGGATGGGAATTTAAAGGCCACTGGGGCAGAGCCCCAAGGGAATTCACCATTTTTCTCTTTTGATGGCTCATCTACAGACCAAGACCTTTCTTTAGACACCTCTACCGAGTTTCTACACCCAGCCGTTCTCTCAAAATAGCTATGACAAAGAAAAACAGTTTCAAATTAATATATAGATTCTCTTTTGATGGCTCATCTACAGACCAAGACCTTTCTTTAGACACCTCTACCGAGTTTCTACACCCAGCCGTTCTCTCAAAATAGCTATGACAAAGAAAAACAGTTTCAAATTAATATATAGATTCTCTTTTGATGGCTCATCTACAGACCAAGACCTTTCTTTAGACACCTCTACCGAGTTTCTACACCCAGCCGTTCTCTCAAAATAGCTATGACAAAGAAAAACAGTTTCAAATTAATATATAGATTGTCCGATGTGTTCTAAGCTCTAGACAAAAATAACAACATCCTTTATAATATGTAGAGAGTAATAAAAAATACACTACAGCCTCGATACCTTTTGGAGTTTTATAGAAATAGCTTTATACAGAATTATAATAATGCAAGATCTTACTGCCTAAAATGGCTGGTTGCTCTGTTATCTGTTTTACTTCCTCATTAAATTATCAAGCACTAATATAAAATATAATGTTGATCGGTTGATGTAGACAAACCCCTCCCCCCAAAAAAAATCCTTATTAAGAGGCATCGGGTCTGATCATAGTCCATGCAAGCAAGCTACAAAAGACATTCTACAGTATTTGTTCAGTATCATCCTTTGAAAAATGCGAAGATGTGATTCGCTGATATATAAATATTTATGTATCGAGTCAATATTGACACTTGAAACAGTGTAAGTAAAGTCTTTAAGTGAAGTTAAACTTATTAAGCCAAAGTAATTTTTGTAAAAACGATCAGAGATTGTATAGACGATGTATGAACAATAATTATACATATCATATCTATAGCAATATTTCGTGGTTTGTAGGTTATTTGCTTACCCTCACACATCTCCGTGGGTTAGGTCGCTGATGTCGTCATTTTGTCGTGGGCGACTCACCCATCATCACATCGTATCGTCACGACACTCTCTGTAGCCTACAAAGCTGCACCTGACACAAACATTGTATAACTCAACAGCAACAATGGTACAAAACAGCTGCACTGTACTGTAATAGGTTATGACATCGTTATTTTTTACTATTAATAAACATTAAACAAAGCATGTCTCAGAGCATGTTTAAATCGTGCATAGTAATAGTAGTTTACGCAACGATTGCGTAAAGATAGTGTTAACGACACGAGTAGAAAATTTAAGGTACGAGCCTTGGCGAGTGCCTTAAAAACTTCTACGAGTGTCGTTAACACTATTTACGCGAGTTGCGTACACTACTTTACCTACGACGGTGTTTTAATTACTAAACATCACTACTCATAACTTCTAAGAGAGGTTATGTTTTTGTTTCTAACCTCTCATTGCCACTGACAGTGATGCAAGGAACCAAACACTAATTCACTAATTGCACCAATCAACAATTAAATTGGTCTAAACAGCTGATTAGTTGAATTTCGAATCGTTACAATTTTGCTTCTCCTTTCTCAATCCTTGAACCTCATTGGTCCGTTACCCGTGTTGTTATGAGTAAAACTATGCTGTTATGAAAGTAAACAATGCTATTATGAGATACTTTTCAATTCTAAGTACTGTACTGAAACGACTACTTTAAAAAAACGGTCGTAGGTAAAGGTTTCTTACGACCGCATTTTCTAAAGACTATCTTATCAGCAGCTAGTTTCATAATAAAGTACAAACTAATATTATTAGTAAATCAGCTGATCGCCCAATGCAAATCTAATAACTTGTAACTTGTAGTTTATTATGAAATGGGCCCCAGGTCTCTATAAAAGAATTGAATTACCTAGATCAAAAATCTTCAATTGGTTTCACAACAGATAATGGTTCCTTAGTCTATGGTTTCACATAACCAGATTTGTGTTATGTTTTAGGCTCGTTATCGTAAAATGACAATACAGTAAATATATTGGTAAATCCCACATCCTTGTGATGTACAGTGGAATTATAAATAGCGATTCGCCATTTTCACTGCGGTCTAACCACAAACCTTCTGGAATAAAACTAAAATGTCTTGTAACTGAGCCTTTTCACTAGCCAAGGCTGTTTAATCGAAAGATTGCAATGGAAGTTATAAGTGAGACATGTACTTTAGAAATAGTAGTTAACTTATACATAAAAAAATAGTCAACCATATTACGTCTTACTGGGCTAAATTAAATATCTTTTTTTAGATTATGGAATAATGCTACATATGGGATTTTCATAAGTAAGTCTGTGGGTTGTTATAGAGTCGCAGGTACGGTAATGGACTTGAATAGTGTGTGAACACTTCTCATCTATTGTGAATTCTGAAGTTGTTTTGATGTGTAATGTTGGCCACGTTTGTTTTAGTGGATTTAGATTGAAAATGTGTTTAACCTAAAAATTAGCCAGTTAGGCCTATGTAATGAGTAGTTTGCATATAGTAAGAGCATGATGTAGTTATTTGTAAGTAGTTTAGCTGTAGTAGTATTTGTTTGAACGTAGCATTTAATTATGCATGAATAGGTGTGGATGGTGTAGGATTTTTTTTTTAACACAACTCAATATTCTTATTCTTTCCTAGTAGAATTTTTTTTCTTAATTAATTGCTGATTAGGAAAATTCCAATTCGAATGAGAATTTATAGGGGGGTTGTAAATAACTCTAAACCTTGTTACATGATGCTAGAATTTCGAAAGTCATCTCCTCATTATTACTTTACTCTAACTAACCTGTACAGTACGATTTGCATCCTAAAAGCCATTTTACTTGTTCTTTTATAGTGTAATACAACATTTATTCTAGCTCAAGCATAAAGGATATTATTTTTAAAATATTTCTTACAACTCTACTTCCGTCATAACTTCAAGAGCTTTTATCGATTCTTTCTTCCAACGCCACATATTTATTCTTCCTTTTTATGTCTTTCATAGGTGATGATCCAGTCTTGTCCACCTTTAATTTGATATCTAAGCCTCTGACTTCAAGCACTGTAAATTCATATTTGATTTTAAGTATGTGGCCGCTAATTGGAGAAATACTATTCGGGCACCCCGTGAAATTCATTTTGCAATCGTGAAACGTCTGGAACAAAATCGACTACATTACCCTGGACTGCGAAATTTACTGATCGCAAGTTGGATACAACCGAATTAACTCTCATAAACCCTGGGGGTTCCTTCTCGTACTGGCCAAATTCTGAGCTTGGGCAGTCATGTTCTTCAAGTAATTGCTGGATCTTTTAAGCAAGTCTGTGAAACGGTTCTCAGGGCATGTAACCAGGCACATGGAATACAGTCTCAGATACAGTATGAATAGTCCCCCTTGAACTCTGTTACTTTCTAGTCTATTCAAATGTAGCTATTTATGAGCTTCAATGCACAGTCTTGGGGAGAATGGTGAATCCCCCAAGCTCCGGTTTGCCAGTATCTAAGTATATAGGATGTTGCCACTGTTGGTAAGTATATAGGATGTTGTTCAATAGGATGTTGCCACAGAGGATGACATCAGAATGAGAATGGTATCAAGTGTTAAGCCCTGGTTTTCTTCCAGTACTCTTTGGTTCTTGCTACTTTCTGATCCTGGACTCCCAGAGGTTCTTTTATTGAGGTTGGTTGATACTTAAAAGGTACTTAAGGGTTTTATTGAGGTTGGACTCGTGATAGGAATAAACATAATTAACACCCATCTTGCGGCATCGTACATCGCTCCGCCATTCTGTTGGTTTTACTTTTCCAGGGACCGGAAGCCATTTCTGTTGTCTCCGTGTTTCCGATTGGTCAGCCATGTTGGTTCAGTTTCATTGGTGGAGTCATAGCGTACAGTGTTGTTAGTGTTCCATTGTGTGAGTTTTTTGTACGTAAACCTTTTATAGATTATAGTGTTTTGTGATTTGTTATTAATTGCATGTTGTATCATGACTTGACTGCTATACAGGGCATATTTTTTGACTACTACCCTCGGTAGTGTATTCCAACTTAGGTTGGGCGTTTGTGTATTGTTAGTTGTAATGTGTTAGTTAAGTTTTTTCACCTGAAGACGGGATCAGATTCCAGATCCCGAAACGTTGTGTATTGTTTTTTACTTTCGTGATGGAAAATGTCCGCAATAAACCTTTGAACAACATAAAAGGTGTCTGGTTTGCAAGTACCATCCATCACATTACCAGATAATGAGGATTTACTTTTCGATCTCCGCATCCCCTCCTGTGTAAACAATATTCATTTTCAGATACCAGTTCTGCAACTGCAACTAAAATCGCCTCAACATCCCTTACAAAATGCAATTTCTGGCCTTTCCTTATCCATGCACTTGGTCTAAAATGAAGACAAACATATTCAGCAAACACCTGCCTCTAGCGGTGTAGATAGACTTTATCCCTCCTAAATACATTATTTCAGTGAGAGAATCAGTCAACACTTGGGGATCAAACCTAGGCCTATCTATTAAACCTAACAATGTTGTGACAGTCAAGACCCTACAACTTCGGCTACTCAGTCCGCGACTTCCACACCGGCGCGGACTTCAAGCAGCAGGAGACGTCGGATGGTAACACAGTGAAGGGTCAGTACAGAGTTCAGCTGCCGGACGGACGGACCCAGATTGTGACCTACACAGCGGACTGGCAGACCGGGTTCCATGCCGATGTACAGTACGAGGGCGAGGCCTCCTACCCCGCGGTGTACGGCACGGGTGGCAGCTACCCTCCAAGCTCGGTAAGTCGTAGTTTGTAGCTCAAATCATGCATTTGAAAATGCCAGTCAACTAGCTTGTCGACAATGTAGTTTGTCAGACAACTGTGAAATAGTTTCATACAGATTACTTGAGCTGCCGTTTAACCTCGTCACCGACGACCATCTTTTAGCGAAGAGCGGATCTGAAACGAGGCCAAAACGTCTGTTAAACTAATCAGTGGGGTTTATAAGACACAGTTTTTCTCCGGACTATGATTTTGCATGATATTCTGTGTGTATGTATATTCTTAATCACATTCATCTTCCAGGTCAGTACTAGCTACGGCGTTCCATCTCAACCGAGTTCCAGTTATGGAGTTCCATCTCAGCCTAGTTCCAGTTATGGGGTTCCATCCCAGCCTAGTTCCAGTTACGGAGTTCCATCTCACTCCAGTACGAGCTACTCCTCACCTCAAGCTAGCACAGGGTACTCGCCCTCTACCCATGGGTCGTCGTATCAGTCCAGGGTAGGAGTCGGAGGAGTTGGCAACCAATACCAGAACATTGGGTACCCCAGTAGTGGTACCTCACATGGTCATGCGGGGTACTAACAACATACACTGAACCAAAGATTTTACTTTCCTCTATAGATCTCTCTACCGAAGTGAGTGATGTACTTTCCAGCAAGTGTGAGACTATTTTGTATTTTGATAATAAATAAGTTTTAAGTGTTTGGTGCTGAGCTTTTATTTCGTTCCTTGAACCAAAATTATCTCCTTGCAGATATTTTAGTGTAATTCGGTAGGCCTAGTGATTTTTAAAATTTAAAATGTGTATTTATTTAAAAGTTTAAAACGTTTTGCTACGTAATGTAAGATTTATTTATTTATAGTAAAGTTTCCAATCCCTTACTTGATTAAAAGAAGAACTATTTTTTGAAGATTACACTAAAATGACTAACTTAACTAAAGATCAAACACATTACATGAAAATATCACTAGCTGTTGAAACATCTGTATGACTAGAGTTATTATCATCAATTGAGAGGGGACTCCACCTATGTGCGCATACTCAAATGTAAATAGAGGATGAGTGTAGAATGGGTTGCGATTCCTTGTGTAGCTTTGCCACTGACTAAAATTAGCTGATTTATTAGTCAGGACTATTTATTAAAAGCACAATGACGAAGGAGAACTGAGTCCAGTTTCGAACAATTTTAATATTACACCATTTTCTCAGGATCGAAACTGTGTCCTTTTGATTCCCAGGCGAGCACTATAACCACTGAACAACCCTGCTAATTATGATTTATGATGATTATGATTGTGTAATAGGCCTGATATTTATATTGTTGAAAGCATAAGTGCAAAAAGTAGGCCAGGCTACAAAAAATCTCATTTAAATCTGATATTAAGAAACAAATTTCTTACCTCGACAAAGACTATGGGTCTTCAATGAAAGCCACTGTCAACATACCATACTAAAGTACCAACAGATCCCTGAACAGCAACAATCTGTAGATCAACTAACCCCATTAGATTCTTTTACAAAACGTTTGAACTTCATCGCACAACAATATTACCCTAAAATCCATTTTCACTAATCGAAACCCTATTATTACTTCTCCATGACTATGTATAAAAAAATAAGCTTTACATTATAGCTATTTACATTTCATAATATTTTTTTTTTAAACTATATTTCATTGTACAGCTGATTTAATTAAATAATAGACAACTTTATAAAATGAAGCAATACAGCTGAGCTCTGTTAATATAAAAAATAGGGAATGTCTAACTTTTTTCTACAGTAGTTTAGAGAAGCACATTGTTTCCTTCAGTTGCTCATTCCGTTGCGAACCATGTTGAAAGTAACTTATTCTTACAACACTAGGACGAAGTTATAGTCGAGACCATGACTTAACCGGTCCATAACAAAATTTTAATAATAAATTTGAGGTGTGTTAATTTTGGGAACACATAACTAAACATTATGAGAAATTGTCTAAAATCTAAAATCGATCAGTTTAGTAAAAGTGCTATGTCTGCTGTTAGGCTATTTGCAATGTAAACTAAATCCCGCATTGACCCCTGCACCCTCCCCCTCCCTTTCCCCCCCAGAGTACATGACAACGCTTATCTCAGGGCCACACACGGCATGCAAGACACGCTTCCCCTTTCCAACCCCCTCAAATAAAACCCTAACATCATTACTTTCATGGGGTAAACAACATGCAAAGACATTTTTATATAAAAATAATACAAATATAATATGTTCTCTTTCCTGCAAATTATGGTGAAGCTCAGTATAATTACCTAAAATTATTATTTTTTTTTAACATGAATGAAATTTAAACCTATATCAATTTGATAGCTTGTGCATGAATAGTTGTAGATCCCTTAAAGGGATATAAACTTCAATCAAAAGTTTCCATGGATGGTTTTTAATGCTACAAAAAACCATCCAAGATCATCAAAAACCATCTAAGATGTCATCGTATTTCCGTATTTTAAGAGTATTTCTTATTGAGTTATTCAATTTATCAATTGCAAACAAAACAAGGTAAATGAATGATATTTGGGGTTTATTTTATCAGCTATAAAGACTAACCAATGACGTGTGCCAAATTATGTATGATTGAAACCATAATAATTTTAATTCAGTACAAATAATTAATCTGGGGCCTGTTTCATAATAAACTACAAACTAATATTATTGGTAAATCAGCTGATTGCCCAATTCAAATGTAATGGAAATCACAAATTACAAGTTACAGCTTGTAGCTTGTAGTTTATTATGAAACGGACCCCTGATGGTTATTTATGTAACAAGCCACTATGGCACGAGAGCAATAAGAACAGCATTGAAAAAAGAAAAATCTAAGATAAAGGAAATTAAGTAAATGCTTTCTTTTTACGGGTACAGGCATGCACAGTTAGCAGTTTACACATACGAGTTTTACTTTATCAATTAATCATAATGTACTACAACTGTATACACAAGGCCCCACCAAGTTTTTTCTAGTGGGGCCTTGTGTATACCGCCTGTTCACTGCCAAAAGCACTGCTTTATGCTTAAGAAGTACACGTTGCTTAAAGCGAGGAGATTTTTAGGAACATGAGTATACCTGATTATTGAAATTATTCAATAGTAACTTTGACTTTTGATAGACCAGTATCCAAAAGCCATTGCTATTTTAAAGTGATTGTTAAAACATTAGGTGACTATACAGTGTACTGGTAAACGAAACCTTAGTTACCAGCCAACCGCCGGGTTGGCAATGTGTCACTTGCAGCCGTGCCAACTTTTAGGTTTGCCAATACATTTTTGACATATGTTAACATATTTGTATTTCACTTGTATATATTTAATCTCAGAACAGATCGTGTATAATCAATGAGGTCTTTAAAGAGTTATTTGAACACGATTCTGCGAGAAGGGTTAATTTTCAGCGGGAAAAGTGGGAAGGAAGGAGAACGCAGATGCAGCGATTTGTGGAGGCAGTGTGTTGGGGAGGCCAAGTAGGGTAGTACTAGTGGCCACTGCAGTAAGTAAGTAAAAGGCAACCTAATTTAGTAATGCATTTTCGTGACATGAACACCCTGTGGTCTGATCGTCCTATGTCACTTTTCTTGTTTGTTTATAAGAGAGTAAAGGTCGTAGAATAGGCGTATTGGGTTTAGTTCATCGGTTAGCCTATTATGAATTTCTATAAAAAGATTATAAGCGTAATGTTACAAAAGTCAAGTACAACTAGAAATAATTTAATCCTGGCTAAACAAACACTGTGGCTTTTCAGATCAGTATTAGATAAACTTAAATTACACTTTACATCATGAACATGCACTCACACAACATCTGTAAGGCAAGAACCAAACTGTTTACTTCATGGAAAAGGAGCAAAGGAAAAGAACAAGCAAAGACAGATACTCATGGGTTTAGTTGTATAACCAAGCCACTCTTTAAATTTGAAGAAGGCAACTCAACATAATTATTCTTATTCGGGGATAAATCTTCTAACACGAACTCTAACAAGAAAGACTAGAACCAAAACTATCAAGAAAACTTGTGTCTTTTCACAACAAGATTGTTGTGGACTTTTCGGTAAATGTGGCTTTGCTAGTCATTGTCAGTCTTGCCACACTTACTACCTTGTTTGATCTTAGTTTTCATTCTAGAAGTCTCTTCTTCAACCTCCATCAGGTTCACCTTGATGCCGAGGAATGCTTGAGTGACTTGTTTGCAGAACCCAGACAGATCACCAAGCCATTTGGATGAATCTTCGCACTGCTGCAGTCTCAGAAACATGCAAGACGTCTTGGAGCTACTACAGATTTCCGTCGAAGACAATCTTCTGACACCAACCTTTCCACTGTGATTCTGATTGTACAGTTTGACAGTCCCATTTAGAAACCCATCCAGAGAAGAATTGTCCCGTTTACACATGGTGAAAGATTGCATCAGATAATACAAGAAGTCGTCACATGTCTTGGAGGTCACGATCACGTCTTGGTCTACTATAGTTTCTTCAGGCAAACACTCCAATAGGTCTCTACATTTCACTAATACATTGGTAGAAGTGACGATTCCTCCGTACTTGTAAGATGTCAAAACCATTACTAAAAAGATGAAGTCTTCATCCGTCTTTGGATGGTTCTGGAGGGGCGTGTGTTTGAAATAGTTTGCTCTATTGGCTGGGAGAAGCTGAAGTCTATCTTTATACAGGTAGAGCAGAAGTCCTAAGTAGTTCTGATTGGCGCAGCATTTCTCGTAACTTTTATTTTCCCGCATGTTAAAGTCGATGAGATAAATAGTTTTGTCTGGGAATAACCTCAAAATTGACTCTATTCCGCAAGCTTGTTCGTTGGTGAGATTACTTTCACCTTTTATAATGTAAATGTTGCTAGGGCCATCAGGAGAGTTTGTTCTGTTGGACATCTTTCTACAAAGCTGGGCATTCGCTGCTTGCAAATCCGACATGTTGCTGGGCAATCCTAGCTTAAGAAAGTCATGATCCATATCATCATTTGAACCTTTTCGTTTGAAAGTCCTGAGGATGTCATACACTATCAACACAGATACAGCTATAAGCAGGGCACAAAGAAGACACCATAGGCAGGTTCTTAACTTGACGGGCCAAAATACGTTTCCTAATCGTCCGTGGTATAAACGACGACCTCCCAGCAATCTTTCGTCTTCGTTAGCCATGGAACTTTGTTTACGAAGCCTAAGTCACAATAATAGTCTTATGTGTTCGAAATGTAGTATTCATCGAGCGAAAAATTCTAGGCAATCGATGAATACATTTTAACACAATACATGAGGAAAATTAATTCAATTGCAAATATAAATTGTTTCCAAGTAAATATAAGTACAAAAACAGGTTAGGTAAATATTTTCACTATACCATATGATTTGATTCAATATGTTTCCGTTTACAATCATCTTAAAACTGGAACTCTAGTGGATTTAATCTACAATCGTTGTCAATAATACTATACAAATATTGCCCTGTAACCAAATTTCCTGACAAAATCGACTGATTTATTTGATTGAATAAGCTATTTATAAACTGCCAGTAATCAATTATATTTGTAATACAATAATAAATAAAAACCATTCATATTATTTTAGTTTATTCCAGGAAGAAAAACAGCTATAACGTTATTAATGTTGCTTTTTCGTCGTCTTTGCGTTTATTAATGTATAGGAAAACGTGCCCCCCTTTGTAAG